TAGTTTTGTTATAATAAGAGTTAAAAGCAGATGATTGTAAGAAGTTGTGTTTATAAGTCATTGATGTTGAGACTATCGAATGTCACGTGCAATACATTGATGTCGAGAATATAGAGATTTATATAAGACTGACAGATGAATAAGTGAGAAACATATAAATAGCATGAGGCAAGCTGAAACAGCAGGCAGACAATAGCAAAAAAGAGTAAAGTTATGGGCAAGGAAAAGTTCAGCATGAAGTTAACTACTGTAGAAGTGATAGGCCTAACAATTAACATAGGCCAACATTTAATATGCTAGAGTAAGACTAACAGTAGAAAAGAAGATAAGAATAATAATATATTCTGTCAAAGCATGGTTCTAAAGTAATTGAATAAGCCTGAGTGCATTTTGACAAAAGGAACAGAGGATATTTAGAAGAAAGAAGACCAAATTATTATCGGTAACACATGCCAAAATTGTAAGTGAATCACACACACAATATTAGTGTGATGGTAATAGAGAAGATGGTTTGGCTTGTCAACTGAAATTTTAAAGTAATTGAATAGGCATAAGTGTACTTTTGATAAGAAGAAAAGAACTATATATATATAGTGTTTATGATATGCCTGTAATCTCTATAGTGAGAAGAATTGGTTGTACGTATGTTTAACTTGTTCCAAATATATATATATATATATTATTTTGAAAACAAGTGAAGTGTGTGTTATTCATTTATCATTGAATTTATTGTCAACAAGTCAAAGACACCTACTGTAGAAGAATCCTAAGTCCAACAACAACATAGTATATATTTATACTATCAAGAAGTATAAGTAAAAGCCTTTTAATTTGACACTTGGCAAAAGACTTATATTTTTAGATTCTGATAAGTATTTACACTAATTGCTTAAGCTAATATCATGTGATGCTAACTACTCTTTGATTAGGAGAATTTCATAAAATTTAGCAAATTTGTGCTGAAAAGTTGGCAATGAATAATAACCATCCACCCATATGATTCTTTTGAAAACTTGGGCTAGAAACTGCTAATCTAGTTTGATTGGCCTAACCAATACTTATGTATCTGCACGTGCTTTCACCCTATAGATTTGCTGCTCTAAATAAGCTGTCTTTAATCTGAATGACAAAAACTAAAAACAGTCCACCTTTACTCTTAGGTGAAACTAGTAAAAATTTAAGACTAATAGCTCACACGACTTTTTGTGTAGGTATGTGTACAAATTTTGTCAAACTTAAGTGGTTTTTGTTGAATAACTTTACACATGTAGCTTATATTTAGACCAAATTTGACACCTAATTATAGATTGTAAAGATCTATCAATGTACCAAATTTTAAAGAAATCGATAAAAGTTATGTATGAAATAAAAAAGAGAAGAAACTCAATCAAAATTTGGTATTTTATATCTCATGTATTTCTTAATGGATTGCCTTGAAATTTGTAATGTGAAGTATTGGCCCAGTTGTGCATATCCACTGAAAACGTATGGTAATTTGAATTACAACAGACTGAGCTACAGAAAGAGAAATTTTGCTAAACTATCACTCCTGTTAACCCTATCATCATGAGTCAAAGGCCATGTCATCGTGTTTGTTGACTCTGATTCAAAATGTTATTGAACTACTATTTTATGAATGTATGTCAATACGTTTACTATCAAATTGTAGATTATAATTCAAATTTTATTATTTTACATTAGTTAATTTCTTGATTTAAAAGTAAATATTAAAAAAAGAAATCCTAAGTCTCGATTTTTGTGTGTCATGTGGTATGTTGAATGCAGCATTGGTTCAAATTAGATCTTTGTGATGTCCAAATACAATATTTATAGTTTCTTATGAATTAGACACTCAAATTACCAATAATGACAAGCTAGAATGTAAAGTATTATTACGACAGTGGAAGTCACGTGACTTTGCTAGTGCGTTGGCACTGGTAGCATGCGTGATGAGTTTCTCGAATGATTGGGGAAGTCCTAGTATGTTCAAGATACTCTCTTCATTAGTATATAAGCCAGCAGGGATAAATGAAGAGAGAGCAGTAGTTATTTTGAGTTCTGTGTAATTTATGATTCTGTTAGTTTTGAGCTAGTGAGCCGTAAAGTGCGTGTTTTGCACTCGTTGAGAGCAATGTTATCGAGATTGTGAATCACTGTGATTTATAGCATTATAGCAAGTTTAAAGTGATGAGAAATGTACTGATTGTAGAACTACTGTGTACTAAAAGTTTGTATTGAGGAAGAATAAACTGGTTTAATCAAGAAAGGACTTGTATCGCTGAAGATCCTCGGAAAGAATTTCTACCAGAAACAAACAAACAAGCAGATACGTAACAATATGAAACTTCTGTCTTTTCTATTTTCTGAGATATTAATATAGTTATTAAATCAACCAAGTTTGCTACACCCACCTCTTCAATTTTTGAAAATACATTTTTACATACACCTACTCTGCCAAATGACATGTGTATAACCAATCAAAAGCTCAGAATGTCCCCTAAGTGGTTTTCTCAGCCTCTTTGAAGTAGTTAGGCAGCAAACTCTTTCTTTTCATGCTAGTAAGGTAAGACATTAGTGAGCTTAAAATTTCATATTTTTAAACCCAAATACAGCCTAATTATGAAG